GGGCTGTCCCTTTTCTCAAAAAGGGACGAACCAAAAAAGAATCTAGCAAAAAGATGACCCACTTGTTACGGTGCTGGTCGATCCTTTTTGCTCATCCGCCAAAAAAAATGACCCTGCAACAACAAGTGCAACGGCCGTTCGTCACACAATGAGTACCTTGGCACCGAGTTGGTTTTTCGGTGATATCTCCGCACAGAGCGAAGCATCAGCAACTGTAAAGCTATCCCCCGCGAGCTGGGTGCTTGGTCCGCCTTGTGTGGCGGCTGATCGAGACCACAGGGCAGTGGGAGGCACGGCAACTGAGGTGGCGAGAGTCAACAGCACCTTGAAAAACCCCACCGCGCCAACAACCAGCTTTGTTTGCTCTTTTTTGCCCATGCCGCAACTTTGGTTCATGGATGCTCCCTCGCCACACACTGAAACAACAGCGATGACAAAGGTATCCGCCACGAGCTATGTGTATGGTCCGTCTTGTGTGGTGGTTGATACAGACCAGAAGGCTGACGGGCGGTCAGAGGTTGTGAGCCCGAGAGTGGTGGACAAGCGGGAAAAATGACCCGCCGCGTCTCCAAGCATATTTTTTGTTCTTTTTCCCCGTGTTGCAACTTTGGTTCATCGATGCTCCCTCGTCACACACCGAAGCAACAGCGATGACAAAGGTATCCATGAGCTGTGCGTCTGATTCGTCTTGTGTGGTGATTGATACAGACCAGGACGCTATAGGTCGCCCAGAAGTTGGGTTCGCAAAAGTTGACTGTGCACCAAAAAGACCCACCGCTGGTGCGTCCAGGCTCTTTCGGCTCGTTTGCCGCTTGTTTGCCGCACACATCGGGTTGTCCACCTGGTCAGCCGAATGACAACATTACGTCTATCGCCGAGGCTACTGACTCCGTACCAGTCACATGACACGACTCGTGCGAATACCGTTAGAGTTTGCGGGGATCATCCGTCGAGATATTCAAGTTTGTGGGCAAGTGTCATGTGTTGTGACAGAAAAAGGACAACAAAAAAGGACCGTCCCATCCTGTCACAAAGTTGCCCAAAAAGGGACAGGATGGGGCGATCTTTTTTCGCTGTCCCTTTTCGGGAGGTTCAAAAATGCAAAAAAAGACCACGTAACAAGTGGTTCTTGGTCAGTTGTCCCTTTTTTAGAAAAGGGACAGCCCAAAAAAGGACAGCTTAACAAGTGGCCTAACAACGACGTTACAAATTCGACTACTTTCAATAAACCTTGATTTGTTTCCGTCTGCTCCTACAACAAATCTCCCCTTTTTCGCTTTTCCACTTCGTGACTGAGTCTGTCCGGAAGATTTGAATGACCTGTTCCCTTTGTCCTGTTTTCCTTCCTTAGCTGCTGCCTGTTGAGAGTACAGGCGTGCTTAGTTTGCCCCACCGGCGTTGGCAGCGCCACAAACGAGCTCTTCAGGCTTTTTGATAGGCCCCACGACAGCCCCGCCACACTGTGCATGTTCCTGTGTCGATCGGAGTCTTTGAGGGCGAGATTCCGGTGGCGGGATAGTCAAGGCTTTGTACCCTACCAGTGGGGTAGCTGCGAAACTTCCCCCACCAGCCACATCGCAGCGCCAACACTACTGTATTGTTTCAGCTTCACGAAGGGTCCCATGATAGCCCTGCAACGGAGCAACGCCATGTGTGTCGATTAGAGCCTTGTGGGGCAAGATACAGCGGGTGGGGTAAATGAGGTTTTTCTACCCCACCGGTGGGGTATTAAGACATGCCATAAAATATGGTGTATCACTGGGTTAACCGGTTGTTGTATTCTGTGGGGGTGTCATATCTTGTACAATATAGCCCGGGCGATCAAGTGCAGGTCGCGGGAGCCACGAAGCGGGTGTGGGATACCACTTATCTCAAACTTGCAGGTACTGAAGTTGTGTGGGAACTAGGGGGGGTGTTAGCACCGCGTTCATAGAACTTCCTAACGTGCATGCGGCCACACGTATGGCGGCGTACAGTATTTAGGGGGGTGGGGTGATACCCCAGCCCTAACATACCAAATACTACCTCGCTGCTGGATGAGAGTGTGCGGTACTGAGCGATGGTGACTTTACTGACACCACTGACCACTGACTACAGCAGTGAAGTTCCTGCCGAGGGTTCTTCCAGTCGTGCGGAAGTGAAGGGGTAGATCGTATGCACACACGCCCAGCATGAACGTCTTCAGCGCCCTCTCGAACAGCGAAAGAGAGTGTTTTGCCATGTTTTGAAAAGAGGTTTTATCCACCGCAACCACCTGGCAAAGAGAAAGGATGCAAACAAACGCGGGGGAGAAATTGTCTAGTGCTGGTTGGTTCGCATTGAGATCGACCGCTTGCATTGTGGTTCCCCCGCAATCAGAGGGCGTGTTGCGCATGTTCCCTGATGGGTCAACTTGGATGTCATCAGGCACCTCTGCGGAGTCGTTCGGGTTAGGGGCGATAGTAGCACGGGCTCCGTGATACGCGCGTCCTAACGTCACGGGGTGTGATACCTTGCGAAACCCGGGTGGTATTTCGGCTCCACCTTTGAAAGCCAAACATTTTAGCACTGGGTATTGATGCATTCTGTGGGGGGTGTCTTCTGTTGCGTGGGTGTGTCATCTTGTGCCGTGTCAACCTAATTTAGATTATTGTAGGAACTCGTGCACCGTACCCACACACACACACAAATACAGGGAGGAACATGGTGTGGCTGGCGCGAGGCATTACTGAGTGCTGTGTGAATTTTTTGTTTCAAAAAGTAGGACGAAAATACTTCGTCTGCGGACGCCGGAAACAGCTGTCGTGGGAAGCAACGCGCCGAGCAAGCTGTGGCGTCCACCGTTAACTTGAATATTGCATAGGATCTTTCTACACTACTCTCCGCGTTTTTTTCAGAATGTAAAATATGCCAAAAACTCGACGTCTGGCGTGTAGGCACAACACAGACTGGCGAGACACACAGCTTCCCACTGCCATTCAGCAGGTATTTGCCCCTCTTTGTGTGACACACTGCGGGTCATCGCTGACTTCCTGGAAGGAAGCTTTGCTTGTGCGTGCATCACGAGCATGTCGATGTGCGAAAAAAGGTATCGAGGTCTGAAAACACAAGGCTAAGCAATAAACTGCACGATACACATAGATTGCAAACTTTGGCATACACAAAGCCCCCGTCTGCTGCTATGATCCATTGCTGTCCAAGAATGGAGCTGTTGCCCTCTATGTTGCATGGCACGGCTGTGTCCGAAGTCTAACTTCCCCACGCAAAATCACGAACATCCTGCACAAATGAGATCCGAATCACATCTCACAGTGCAATGAACAACTACCACCTTCTTGAGGCATGCACACGACGGTCAGCACATAACTTGGCTCAACCAGCATATCATCGATCGGGCGTTCGAAAACGTGTTTGGCAGCATCACATGTACGGTGTTCGCAAGTTTGCACTGAACGAGTACACAGATTTCTTTGGGTAGCAGACTTGCTCCAGACCACAGAAGAATAGTGAACCTCGCTCGTCGAACTATGACTTCAAGTCCAGTCACCGAGAATTCCAATCGCCGGCCCGTTCTCTGTTCGGCATCGTGTACCATGGTAACATGGACCATGGAATCGGCCAGTATCAAGTCGTCGGCACGAAGTTTTATTGCGTACTGTAGTATATGGTATGCATCAACAACATTCGATGCTGGGCACCCTTGTTGGCTGGATCCATTCAAGAATGTCTACGTTGTGCCGCCCTTACTTATTCTCTCCCTATTGACTGACCCATTCAAGGATGACCATTGTGTGCACTCCTTTTTGTACTTCTCGCTCTACTACCCTCTTTCACCTTGCGATTCGGCCCCCGCCGCCCACTCGGGGCCGAAGAAACCGTCAAGGCCCTAGTAACAATGATGGAACACTTTGACGCCTCGTTGGACCCCCCATGTGGAGTTGACCCTTAATTCGATGTTGACGCTTCTCATCTGTGGGCACGTATAGTAGTTTACCTCCATGCGTTTCAACAAATATGGTGGTGATTCCACCTTACTTAGTGCTTCTCTTCAGGCTTTCGTGGCAGTCTTGCAAAATACATATTACAGCTACTGAATGACTTTTAAACCCCGGCAGACGTCGGATAAGACCACCGTTAAGTGCGGACGGCAGTGTTTTCACGCGGGGAAGTTGGTGCTTTCCGTGTGTCCCGTGTGTGACTGTGGGGGGTACACTATGTGACCTTCCGCATATTTTTAGTGCTCAGCGACATGCATGGAAGGGGGCAAACAACGCTTCAGGTCCACACAGTGAAGAGGTCTTGCTGTGCATGGTATAATCTACCGCAGTAGTCCTTCAATGAACAGCAGGTTCAGCTGATTCCGTTGGCGGTGCTTCTCGCTGGGGATCCGAAGGAAGCCCAATCCTCGATGTTCTGATCCAGAAGCCTAGACAATTGCAACATTCTCGTTGCGCAATGCTTCCCGAAAGAAGATGTTCGGGCGTGTAGGTTCTGGGGTGCAGTCCAGGGAGAATACATTAGGATATCATGCTCGTCGCTGTAGTGTGGGAGTTTGTATCAAGCCTAAAACGTCGGTGCGACTATCGTGTTACCTGATGATGGAAACAAGTATCGGGTAAGTAGCGACGTTCGAAAACGCACGGTGTCGTATCCTTTCACTTGGGTCACGTGGTTCTTATCTTCGACCCTGACAATTTCGGCGAAAAATCGGTGATGCGGGACTCTGTGGGAGGGCGTGTCTTGCCAAACCGATGTTTCCACACACCCGCCGTCTTTCGCCGTCGTATTGATCCTCGACATGTTGCTCTGCCACTGCGTCCTTGAACCAAGATCAACAACGTGCATCAGTTACCCTCTGAGTGTTTGAAACACAACCAATCCAAAAGATGCTTTCCCTCCCCAGGCATCGTGAAACGCGTTGCTCGTCATCATTGCAATCTGCGCTTGGTTTCACTTGCCAACTTGTGGTTTGTCATCGATGGAAGCGCGGCGTGATGGGCTGGGCAAACGTTGTCTCTCCCATGAAGCGTCAGACTCATGTCGCAACAATGCCCGGGCTCAACTCTGACTTCGTGTTTGCGCGTCTGCCTTCTACCACCATGCTCCTTGCGCCAACTGCAACAGACACGGCGTGGCCTGGAAACGTTGAGCGGCGAGCTGGGGGCGCTCGGTGAGGCCGCCAAGGCAGAGCGACACGTGGCACATTCCGAAGTTCTCGGGGCGAGGCGTGACGCAGCAAACGCCCACGAAGCCACCACAGCACAGCTCGCCGGCGTTGGTCGTCAAGTACACGGCGTAAGGAGTGATATCGCGGATGCCCGGAAGGCCACCACGGCACAGCTTTCCGGGGTCGCGCAACAAGTACACGGCGTGAAGCACGATATAGCGAACGCTCACGAAGCCACCACAGCACAGCTCGCCGGCGTTGGTCGTCAAGTACACGGCGTAAGGAGTGATATCGCGGATGCCCGGAAGGCTACCACAGCACAGCTTTCCGGGGTCGCGCAACAAGTACACGGCGTGAAGCACGACATAGCGAACGCCCACGAAGCCACCACAGGACAGCTCGCCGGTGTTGGTCGTCAAGTACACGGCGTAAGGAGTGATATCGCGGATGCCCGGAAGGCTACCACGGCACAGCTTGCCGAGGTTGAGCGACAAGTACACGGCGTAAAGCACGACGTAGCGACCGCCCGCGAGGCTACCATAGCACAGCTCGCTGGGGTTGAGCAACAAGTGCACGGCGTGAAGTACGATGTGGCGAGCTCGCATGACGCTACCATGGCGCAGTTGAAAGGCGCTCGTTCTCAAGTCGCCGACGTCAAGTGGGACCTAGCAAGCGTGAGCGCATCGGTGGACGAGTGTCGATCGGAGAACGAGCTGTTTTTCAAGAGCTTCACGCAAGGGTTGGCGGCTACGCACCGGGGCATCGAGACCCTGATGGCAAGTAAAACGTCCTCCAGAACGTCTAGGACCTGTTGTTCCACTACCGCATCCGAATGTATAGTGTCGATGACATCGGGTAGAAACCTGTGCCCACTGATCGGTGCACGCCTGTTGTCACAGCTTTCGCACTGTATCAAACGAGCGAAAGTGCAATTGGTTGATGTCGACAATTGCAGGAGTTCGTCGAAAATGACGGAAACGATACTACAGACTGAGACCTCAGACGGTTCCAACGTTGCTCTTGATCCTCTTGGTCTTGCACAGAGCGCGCCCCTGAAAGAGGCAGAGATGGCTCTCAAGAATTTCACAGCCAGCGGTGGCAACGTGCGGTTCTTGGACGTGGCGCACAGCAAAGCCATGACAGCCTTGGTCCAGGGTCACACCGTCGATGTCAAGCTTAGCGCGGCCGTCATAGCTGTTTCAGCCGGCTACGTCTTCGCGAGCAAGGTGAGCACCTATGTCGACCACGGTGTAATTTTTCCCGTTTCCTGGTTGAGCCGTTGCCCACCAACATTGGAAGGAACGGCATGGGAGTTTCATGGGTTCGTGTGCAAGACCAGAGTTTATTGGGTGTGTCACTGATGAGGAGAGATGAGGAGGGCGATATTCGTTGGTTATCAACCATCTCTGTGTGCTCTACACGCCATCACCAATGTAAGGTGCTGGCCCCCGAGTTCGTGTGTTACGTTGCTGGTACTAACCTTCGTTGACTCTTTCTCTCATACATGACCGCCTCCTCTGCTCTAACGTCATTTTGGACGTTTTTCGAACTCACAGACGGATTCTCCGCTTGAAGCCAAACAGTTCACGGTAAACGGGACGCTAGTGAACATCGTGGACGTCCTGGCTCCGCTCTGGGTGGACTCGTCCCGCGCTGCTTCGGCCGATGGACCGAAGGTCTTGGCATTTCTCCTCAACCTTGTGTCTTGTGTATGCGCCCTTCCCCCGGTGGCTGAACCAGTCTTGCCTGACCTCGACAAGCGCCTCCTCCCAGCCTTCGGCACACTCTGTGCGACCGAGCCCGGGATTTATCGCATGTATCCCGAGATCGGAGGCGTTGCGGCAAGGGCGTTGCTTGCTAGTCAGACGATGAGAGACCTGTTCGAGTTGGCCGATGAGGTCGATGTAGATGTCGCCAGATGTACCAGCAAAGACGAGGTGATCCAGATTCTACTAGGGTCCGGCAAAGCCCTCTTTCGTGCACCCGCCACGGGGGTCGAGGCAAAGCTTGAAAGCCAGACTATGTTGGATCTGTGTCAATTGGCGCGTGAAAAGGATGTGGATATCGACCGCTACAAGACCCACGTGATCAAGATTCTTCTTGGATCGGGGAAGGACCTCAACCCAACGCGAGATGCTTCGACCGACCGCGCTGCTCTGTTAGCCTTGTTCATCGCTACGAACGGCCCGTCATGGACAACAAGCACGGCGTGGGGGACGGCTGCCCCCCTTGGAGAGTGGTACGGCGTTACCGTGGATGATGACGGTCGGGTGTCACAACTGGAGCTACGGGAAAACGGGTTGTCCGGTAGGTCCAAACACAGCACGGTGCGCTGCAACAGGTTTCTCTGTAGAGCACGAAAGGGAAATGCTTCTTCCATTCGAACGTTCAGAAGACTTGGTCTTGGTATTACTTCCAGTAATAACTCGCAGAACGTTTTTTCTCGCCATCCTATCGCGAACCAAATGTTGTCCGTATTGTCGGCATTGTAGGCTTTTCCCGGAATCCCCTCTGTGCCCCCCTAACCCCGGCCGTCCCACAAAACTCGGCCGAAGAGTAGCACACACATGGAGTCTCTTTCTGGAGGATAATAAAACAACTGCAAAATACAATTGATTCCCCCCCTGACGTGACTTCATCCCGCTGTGGTGATAATTTTTCTACACCCTTCTAGCGGTTGGGCATCACTTCGAGTCAGAAGCGCCAGATCGCAAGGCCGCAGACGCTGGTTGTTCTTGGGCATTCATGCGAGGGTGTTTGGTGATGTTTCTGGGCGGGTTGTTGAATAGAGCAAGTATGCCCGTTTACTTGGTTTTGGCTTTTCGATCGGGGAGGCAATTCCCGGTTGTCAGGTCATTTAAATATCCCATCCCTTGACAGCGATTGGGTTGAAGATAAAGGTCGAGTCAGGGCGGTTGTCTGCTTTGCCTCTAGTCCATGGCTCACAATCTTCACGAATGAACGTTCGAGATTCCGTTGCGCCAGTGGGCCTCGTCCAAGTGGAGTGGCAGCGCCCTCTTGGGAATAGCTTCACCCCTTCGTTCTTAGCCCATGTCCTCATGCGACGTGTTCTACTGCGGAGATTGGCTTGCTGATGGCGACGACACGCGCTCGACATGATGTTTCTTGTTGCTTGTGTTCGATGCGGGACACCACCAGCATCGGAGTACATGAGCGCAGCCAGTCGGTCTTTTGGAATCGTTCAAACGTTTTTCCTCGCCCACTGCCCCCTTCTTTCCTCCCGACTCTCTCGCACTTGTTTGAAACGCTGGGATGTATGTCTCGCTTGGAGATGACCTCGGCGTGCATCACAACATTTGCGGGGTACACATGAGAATATAGCGCAGCACACTTGGACGGAATTGAACGACAGAAGTACATAGTCCTATCGACGGTGCTCTCGAGTGTTTCGCATTCATGAATGATTTTCCATCGGGTCCATGCTACCACCAAACTTCCCAGGTGTTATTCCACCGGAGTTCGCCAGACTGACGGCTCTCACGAAATTGAATCTTGGCGAGAACAACCTAACCGGTGAGATCTTGCATTCGGTTCTCTCTACTATTTTGCAGGTGATAGATGGACGCATCCTTTGGTACATTAGCTGTGTTTGTGGCGTGTTCAATGCTAGATAAGCCCACTGTTTCATTGTTGGTTTGGGCGTCTTTGCCTTGGGAGCACGCTTACCATCCCATGTACTTGATTCCCGCTTCCTGTGGTAGATCCGCAAATCTTAGCTATACAGTACCACCGTGGCTTTGGAGTCGTCTGGTGTTTGAAAATGGAATTCCGCGCTACAAGATTTTTGGTGTTGATACTAGGCAAGGTGCAAATGTATACTTTGCATCGATGCCCTCCTCGTCCTGAGGCAGTGACGACCAATACTCTGATTCCGTCACCAACGACTTGACCGGGTTTCATACCAAACACAGAAGTGGGTCAACAGAATGACACCGAACACACAAGTAGTTCAACACAGTGCCACTTGTGCAGTCAAGCACACGACCTCGACTTTCTACGTCTTGTCGAGGATACCTATGGATGATGTCCAAGCTTTTCATGCAACGCGTTCATAAGACAGGGAAGGTTAGTGAAAGCCCAAGGAGGGGGTGGGGCAGTGCAAGGAGACTGAGGAATTTTGAAACGAGTCGCCGGTGTCTGGTTGTTTCTCAATGACGTTGTTGGGTCCTGGCTTCCCACCGACCCTTTCCACCATGCTCACAAATTTACCAGTGCTTTCCAGTGGTCTGCCGTGGTAGGGTGATCGGCGCCACGGAATGAATACGTCGTTAGAAGTGCAGGAGGAAAATGAAGTTAAGATGGAAGCCGCGCGTAATCGTCATTAATGGCTGCGGCATCGCACGATGTCGATGCATCGAGATCGCTGTTGTGAAAAGTGCCGGTGTGCCTCCGGAACGTGTGGCATGGTATTCGCGTAGGCAGTCGTTTGGCGTTCAGAAGAACGAGACAAAATTAAGACTGCCCAAGCGGCCTGTGTTTCTTGAACACTCGGGTATCACGAGAAGTGGTGCCAGCGTATCCGAGCAATGCGAAAGGAATTCTGCAATCACTCGTTTCAGCATAGTTCGAGGTGCTGCATACAGTCCTGAAGGTTTGTTGCCCGGGTCGTGAATCTGCCGGTCTCGGAAATGGATCCGATGTAGGCGTCATGGTTAAAATGGTGCTTCAAAATTTGTGTTTTTTGGACGACCAACCAATTGCAATACACCAACTCTTGAGAATGGTTTTCATGACAATTTGCGCTGGATATGACCGAGATGTTTCGATGGCGGCACAGGGATAAGCAACTTAAGGGCAGGATGCAGCTTCGGTTCATCTGGGACTGACTATCGTTTGCTACTCGAAAAGGTGCCGGTTGGACAAGACAACGTGAGCCCGTCCGTTTGTTCGTTTTCGCAAATGCCGTCGAACGGCAACGGTTGGCCGAGAAGTGACCGCTCTGAATAGGGAACAGTACTCTCCCAGCGACACAACCCACGGTTCAGATTTGACAAAGTCGTGTTATGAAGGTATACGAATGAAACCCTTCCGGAAAACAGAAGTAGGGGACAATGCCAAAGAGAGCCCTGCGACGGCGTTCTTCTCTTATTTCTACAGAAAGCGCCAATACTTAAGAACCCAGGAGTTAAGAAATTGAGCCCAATATTAATCAAGAATTTTGAACTTGAGGACCGTTTTTGAGCTCGTTTAAGAACCCCTACACTAAATCCTATAGTGCGCCACTCGTGGCATGAGCCTGTGATAGGAACTAAGACCCCAGCCTCGGCCGAAACTAGAGGTTCGCAAGTGCGGCGCGTTCTGTATGGTGGAAGCATTGCTGCTGCCGGTCGGAGCTTACCTGACAATGTGGTCATGGCGCGGTTTCACGTGTCTCAACAGAAACTTATTCAGTCGACACGTACCGCCACAGAAAAAAGATACGAAATGTTTGCTAGCTATTGTCCAAACTTGGATGTAGCTAGCTGCTGCCCTCCTTGCTGTGTGACCCTCCAAAGCAAGCTGCGTATTACACATTGCATTCCTCAGCACTTGGCCCTTGAGTCCATCAGACACGCGTCTATCAATCTCTTGCTGCGGGAGCAGCAAGGCAGCAGGATCCGAGCTATGAACCCTTTCTCTTTTTGGCCCCCCGGAAAACCGAACCAGGACATTCGATCCAACACGCCTCCAGGGCGGATAAAAGGCATAAAAGGAACCGAATACACAGTTTATCAGCTCTTCGACAACAAACTACTAGTCTACAGTTGAAGTAAAACTTTATTGCGGGCACACGTAACACCTGATTTTGAATTTTTACTGTCTGCTCTTGACCGTTGGGGAGGCGCAAGAGGCCGTCCCTCCTCATTGCTTCGGGTGGCTGTCGTTGTGGAGGCATTGGAAGGTCACAAGAAGTCAGCTATCTTCGGCGGCGTGTTGTTGTGACTGACCCACGAGTGGTTTGGCTCTCACTTGCTCGTGTACCGGCATCTGTGATGCAGTGTCTGCACCACACGAATCCGCCATCCCTGAATCTCCTCTTGGGGGGAGAACACGAGCATGAACCAGAATGGGCGTCGGAACCAATCTGCCGATACCACAAAGCCCAGCATGTCGTGTACACCCGTCAAGCATAGATAAGATTTTGTGCTAAGCTGAAACATAGCCCGAAACAGGCATAGTCTTCCCGGTAATTGAACTCTTAGCAAAGGAAAGTCGAGCGGAGGAGGTCTCCCCGCCCGAGCAGATGTTCTTGTTTCGTTTGGATATTTGCGAAATATAATTGTTTTGCCGCCACCGAAGGTGTACCCCAGTGAACCAGTTGCGCGAGGTGTCTTGTCGCCGACCATGCATGACGTTTTACTCACGAAAATGTCAGACGCCAATATGCTGTCAGGACAGTCAGCCGTTTTGCTCTGCTAGTCGTTCCCGGTGGCATCGGTCTGAAGGGTCGTTATTTCGGTTTCAAGCAGCTGTCGGACCTGTTCGCTGAGAATATCCACCGGAGCAGCAACCAACGACTTAATGTCTTCGTCTTCGTCTTCCATCGGCCCTCGTTTCGGCACACCAAAAAAGGCTACATTATGTAGCCGGTTCTCTGAAATGATATATTTGCAAGTATCTTCGGTGCTTCGTTCGCTATTGTCATGGAGACCCTTGCAAGCCATACGCTAGTGTGAGTCGTGCAAGGAAGTGCACTCCGGCTTGCAGATGCTGCGAACTGAAACCCGACACAGCTAGAAGTGGTTCTCCGTTACTTCATCGCGTAAGCAGGATCAGAAAGCAGGATGTCGATTACCCCATGGTCTTGAGATAGCGTTTCGACTTCGTTGGAGTTGAACTCCACAGAAAAACAATGAGGAAATGTGAAGAATGGTTTCTCAGTGCCTTTTGGGGAATTCCCTCCCGGGGTGTGCCCCGCAGCAAGGGGCGAAGTCTTCACCAGTGCCCGCGAAACCGCACTTTGCTCCGCGCTCTTTGTCGGGGGCAGCCAGAAATTCTGAACAGCGGCACGAAAAGGAAACAACGAGAGAGGCCGCCACGTGTGCTTGAGGTTTTGTTCCCACTTAACGTTCGAGGCGTTCGTTCGAGCTGGGTTTGACTTGATGGGCAAGGGGTTTCTCGATTTGTCGAGGTCTTGCCGGTTCTATAGATTGTATCCGACGAGACGAGTATACTCTCCGTCCCTCGCTCCTACCCGTTGCTATCAACGGGAGGATGGCCGTCCGTGTGCTTCGGTGATGTGTAGTACATCATTGGCGCGTACCGTGTTCGCAAATACTCCTCTTCAATCTTGCCGACGCCACGATCAATTCTTTTCAACCATGACGAATCGTTACTATCACATGTATGTCCTACCGAAACACACTAGCCCAAGTAGCAGTGATCAACTTCCAACGTTGATGTTTCCTGCAACATATGCATATGCGCGGGCAGGTGCACTCCAAATCGACCTTTCTTGCCGAGTGCCTTGCCTCGGGTCTGTTCTGGGAACCTTAGCGTCGCCGGGCCAGACTGCTGCAAAACTGGGTCTCACGTGGGAATCCCTCGTGCTGGTCGCGTTTCCTTCAAAAAATCAAACAGCTGGGGTCCGGCTCTATTCCTCCAATTTTGTTGCTCACTGAAGAATCCGCTCGCGTTTGAGACGTCGACCGACGTCCACAAAGGAAATATCTCCAATATGAAAAGTGCATGTACTTTTTCTTCTGCGTGATCGCTTGTGACAAGTACTGTCACTGGCGATGCTGGAAATGTCCTCATATAGAACAAGAAGATGTTTTGCGCCGAACTGCCGATACCCGAAAATGTGCACACGCATCAAAGGGCCCTGTTTGCTTCGGAGGTCATTCCCGAAACGTTGCACACGTGAGCTAGATTCGTGATTGGGAACCATTACCATGAGATTTTCCTTTCGCCTTGTCTAGGGATGGATTTTAAGGCCGACGCACAGGGGTCAGGTACCGCCATGGGCATGACATCCGATAATCGAAGCGGGTTGTTTCTCGTCGGCTACCGTAATGATGCCTGTCGAACGCATGGGGGGAAAGGCCGAAACTCATTTTCATGAGATGATGAGGCCGCTGCCTGAAGGTGAACGTGGCCATTTTCACAACATGGACAATATTTGTGCATGGTTACACCCGTCTGTTAAGACTATCCCTGCCAGTGTGAGCCCAACCCTCTTGAATATCCGCTCACCCAAGGTTCAGCGTACCATTTGAACTAGTCGCGCGGCACGGCGCGGCACGGCGCGGCACGGCGCGGCCCACCACTCATCTTCTATTATTTTGTGTTTCAAGTGTAATGCCCTTGTAATAGCAACGTGGTTTGAGGGGCGTGACCTACTGTACGATTGGCGTGGGGCTGTTTGCGATGCCGTGCGGTGAGGAGCCCATTTTGTCCCCGTCTACCTACAATACCACCATTCATTTATACTTCGCTATAATACTGCCGCCGTCTACGTTGGGCGGCCACTGCTGTCCTTCCTTCTCTCCGTACGCTCTGTAGCTCCCGTTCGTCACTCGACTTGCTACACCGCTGCGTACTTTCTTGTCAACGGAATGGCAGGAGGTTCTACTTTCATTCCTGGTGACCCCAAATTTCCGAACAATTAGCAAAACTACACTCCGAAACTGTC